TAGGGCTGCTGAAGGATGCTGAATATGAAATCAAGGTCATCCAGTGTAAATTGCTCTTTGGCAAACAATTACTTTTGTGCATCTTTCCTAATCAAAGCCGATTTTACCAGAGCAAAAAAGAAAGCATCTCCTAGGTGCTCAGCAGGTTATAAAAGCTCCTCAACCCCTTCCTTTAAATTATACATACAAACAGGATGATAATACACCCCCTAAGTTAAATTGTGTGTTAGTCCCTGGACTGTGGGATTTGATCCAGGTTTATACTGTTCTTTCGCCTCTGTCATCACACTTTTGTTTGGCCAACTTCCTGACTTAAGGGGACAGGCCTCATTTTTCAATTAGGCACTGGACCCACTCATGCTTCACAGCTCTCTCATCACCCTCATCAACTCAGCCCCCACCTTCCTCTCACTCATGCTAATATGAACGGGAGGGGGTGGGGGGGGACGGGACGATAGAGACACTATTGTAGATCAGCTGATGGATGCAGGAGAAAGCTGTGATGCTGGGAGGACTCCCTCTCCCGCTCTTTTACTCGCTTTAGGAAAAAAAAACCTATGGTGACTTATTGTTACCGCAAATACTGTATGACTGATTCTCATTTTATTCTGTTTTTAATACAGTACTACCAATACATAGAATATAGACGCATTTATAATTCCCCTCAGAGCCGGGCCTTACATATTCTGTAAGTAATTAATTTAAAATTGGAGAAACAAATACATGCAGGACTGATAAAATATTGTTCTTTTTTTCATATTTCAGACACCTGCAGTGACTTAATGCTGAGGAGGCAGACTGCTTGAGTCGTGCTGCAGGGCTGGCTGTGTTTTTTTTTTTTCTTCGGCTGACCCAGTTGGGAGGCACATTGACTATGCAACTAAGACACAGACGGAGGAGAAACTTGGCAACACATGACTGGATAATCATCACGGTACTTTAATATTCAAGAGGGAGAGGGAGAGCGAGTGATAACATTAGGGAAAAGGCAACAAAATATGGGAGGCACTGAGGTTGAGATTTGCGGTGCAGAAGGAAAAAAGGGGAGAGGAGGACTGAGGAAGGAGAGGAAAAAGATGGAGAGAAAATAGTGCAATGGTGGAGCGTAAGGAATGCACTAAGACATGAAAAGATAAGACTTCTCTTCTATTCCCAGTAGATATTTTCAGAAGCTCAGCAAATGTTTCTAATTCCCTTTGCCTCCGTTAGCCTCCTTCTCTATGGCTACAGATTAAACATGAATAAAGACTTTGCAAAAAGATGGAGAACAGAAAGAGAAGAATAAGACAGAAAAAAGGAGTCTGGTGGTTGCCATGGTGATGAGAGGGGAGAGATTCCAGAGTGGTCTCGGCCATTACGCAGTGTGTTGGGGAGATGGACTATGCAGCACTTAGGCTTATTGCAGTGTGGGCTGAAACAGAACAGATATCTAATATAGACGAGATGGGCTCGCACCAAAATGGTGGACGGTGAGTACAGATCTAATAAAAAAAGAGGCTGTAGAACACTGAGGTTTTACTGCCAAAAGCTGTGCTGAGAAAAGGCAGCCAGGCTAAGGAAAAAATACATTTATCTTATTTGAGAGAATGGATGGATGTCCAGTGAGTAAAAGCCACACACACACTTGTGTAGATGTCAGTGGGTACACTGACATCTACACAGAGACATATAAAAGGCACACAGACAAATGTATGCGCAAATGTGCACAGAAACATAATCACAGATAGACTGATCCCATCTAGACAACAGCCAAGTACAAGCCCTCCATTACTACAAAGCCAAGAACAACAGTTGTTGTCTTTGGCCATGCAGGGGCTCACATGTAATGGGCAGACACAACAGCTAAAGATAGAACAGTGATTTCCTGTCCATGAAGCTTTAGCATAAGACAAAGGGAGTGAGATCAATTCCAACAATCTTTTGTTGCAACTACAATAGCCTAAATTTCAATCTTGTCCATGGGAAAACCCGTAATTACAGATGTCTCCTCTAGGAGCAGAGGATTAAGATGTGTGAAAAGAAGTATATGAATTTATATGTATTTATGTTTAGTATCTCTATATATTCACTGAATTCCAGATGTAAGCTGATGTTTAAAAATAAGCTAAACTAAACATCTGGCTGCTCACTTCTGACACACTTCCACTGAAACCAGAGACATGACGCAGCTGAAGCACAACTGTGACATAACCAAACTACTTTCTGAGTAATGCCAAACAAACACAAGTGGCACTTTTTGCTCTAACAGACATTATTCGAAAGTTTACTTTCCGCACCCACCACTTGGACTAGCGCTGTTTTGTTTGGGGAAAAGAAGCAAAAAATAAAAAATAAAAAAAAACCTGACAGCAAAGAGTTAGTGTTGCCAAATTGCACTGAAATTGTAAATTATATAATTATATAATAACAAAGATGCCCTGAAATAAACACATCATTTGACAGGCTGGTTATGGTATAACTTGGCCCATTAAGGACTGCGGCTAAGGAGGAGCTATTGACATGGAGTAATAAACAGTGCTCTCTGTCAGACAATAAAATGAGATTATGTACTGTAGAATTCCATTATGCATATAGTCTTGTGGTTGCCCGTCCCATTTTACTGCTACAAAACAGGGCAACTTGTGCAGTTGGAAGAGAAGAAAAAGACTGGTCATGCACTAAGTTATTTGTTTATGAGTATCTTTGGCTCAAATGGAGTGTAACAAACTGCTTAAATAAACAACAATTGTGGAGACAGAAAACCAAATGAGAAAAAGGCAAACAGAGCTCGAGCTACAGATATGAGTAACTCCCTGAGAAGATACACAGTGAGATCTCTGATTATGTTCAATCTTTGGTTGTTGCCTGTTCTCAAACTCGTTCCCTGCTGACCAGTGTGCACTATTTCTAACTGTGAACTAATCAAATCAAAGCAGAACAGTGGCTCTACGCCAGTGGCTTCTGGTCAAACCGACTTTATACAAAGCATCACAAAGCAGTGTGTCCGGTTCTGTGACATCTTCCTGGTGTTTCTCTGCTTCCTGGGTAGTTCAATAGCAGAAAAGTTATTTGAAACTTCAAATGACTCCTGCCGACAGCAAGTATGAGACTGCCAAATAAGAGGAAGAAAAGCTCTATAGTGAAAATGTTTTGGCCAAATTTTAAATTAAAACCTAAAAATTTCCTTTAATCTTTTGAATATTACTCGACACAAGACACAAATATCAAAGGAAATGGCTAGAGTGACATATGTCTTTTAAAACATCTATTTAGTATGCACTTTGGTCAGCATGGAACATACCCAGAAGGTATTGTTTGTTTGTTTGCTTGTTTATCTAGGCTGATCTGACCAGCCAGCTGATTTTAATCTTTATGTTAATTCTAATCAGTAACCTGATAAAACAGGTGTAGCCACGGGGTGGGGGTTCATTATCTCTGGCCTTTGTGCCAGGGAGCCCTAGTGGGGTTTCAGTGGCACAGAGAAGTCAAAGAACCAACTGTATGTGTGCCATGGAAATTGTCAAAGTGGTTCAAGGGAAGAGCAGAATAGAATATAACAAAACTGAGTGAAGGGAAGCAGAAAAGGGTTTGCAGGTCTGCCTTATCTGAGGAATAAGGAACAGAGCACTACAGTTCATATATGTGCACGCGCTGTGTAATAAAAAGCAGACTGTGGGTGGCTTTCCATCCATTCACTTGCAGTGAAATGATGCTGTACTTTGCATATCTCCTCTAACCTACAGGGCAGCATCACATGTCAGCACAGCGGGGGCCTTTCTCTTTCCCCATGTGACACGGGTCATCGCAGTTGGTCTCGCCAGTGTCATATGAGGAGGGTGACAGGTAATTATGGCTTTGCACTCATGCCCCCTGGTGATTAACAGGCTTGATATCCTTCAGCAGGTCTCCCTGGCGCCAAAGTCACCACAAGATTTAAGATTTACATTATTTTATATTATTAGCTGTACTGATGTATGTGTATGTCATAGACTGTACACTGGGTGCATGAGAGTGTTTATGAGGATAAAAAATTAAGAGAAAGTAGAAACTCAAGTAATACTCTCGAAGCTCAAACTAGCAAAATCAATAATTCACAGTAAATTACTATATCAACTTTCGTGTTAAACATTTCTGCAAAAGTACTTGCAGGGAGAGACAATTTCATCATGCAAGGTCAGAAGCTCGACAAGTCTGACAGTTTTGTTTCCACTGGTGAGAAAGAAAGGCACCCAATGCCCCAATTGCATCCCAGTGGAGTTAACAAACAGTCTCTTTGCTCTTTTATCTTTGGTTTTATCTGGTCACGGAATGTGGTCTTGGGCCCTCCGAGTCACTTGATGTTGCTCCATCGAGCCACATCCCCACATTCACAATATCTCAAAAAGACTGACAAACTCCTGTCAGGTAATTAGCCTAATTAGTCACTGGCTTGTATTTCCTTCTCCTCCCCAGGCTCGCCTTTCCTCCTGCGTGGGTTTGAAGAGTGCCATCATTAATATCATCCCGCCATGGGTCATAAAGCATTCCATGTCACCATGATAAAGGTCCCTGTCCTGGCCTGGGAAAGGAGAGATGATAACCTATCTGGATAGACTGTCTTTGAATTAAACCGTCTCACGATACAATTAGTTCAGTGCACACTGCTACTTTTGCTCTGGAATGAGTCACGGTATATACCATATTCTCTCCTTCACGCTTTGTTTTCTCCCTTTTGTTCGGATATTTGAGAGGCTTTGCTCAGTAGTACTGAAGCCTTTTTCCTTTGAACTCAGAAACTCTGACAAGAGTGGCTGAAAGATCGCATAATATTTGAAATTAATGGCATAAATTACTGACATGAGAGCAATGATGCAGAGATGAAATAAAGGCGATCTGACTTGAATGTGAGTCAAACATTCACAAATCTGAGAAGTGACTAGTGTGGCTTTGAGAGTGACCTTAAATTTATCACATCCACATTCCTGCTGTAGGAAAAAATATAAAGATTATATAAACATACAAAAACAAAAAAGTTGTGTTACCTTCATAGACAGCTTTAAATCCCTGCCCACTGACTGCATAGTCAGACAGTAGCCACAGTGTAAGCCTGGAGCCTGTACTCACAATGGGTGAAGGCAGCTGGAACCCCGTTAACCTGAGAACAAATGGACAGAAGGACAATAACGGTCAGACAGAAAAAAAAGATCCAATCAGCAGCACAGTTGGTTACAAGGTCAGGTATGAAGCCCGCTTCCATCAAGCCAGCTGTTCCCTCAGGCATTCAAGGATAACTTTTTGTGTAACGAGGCTCTGAATCATCCACAAATTATTAAAATGCCAAGACCTCAACAGGACAGAAAACCTCAACAGATTTCTCTCCATCAGCGAAGACAGAGTAACTGCAATCATTTACCCACAGTGAATTAGAAACACAGCAGTGTGGGAATGAACCAACAGATGAACAGGCAACAAACATAAAATTGTCAGACTCTGAGTAAACAACCATTTCTAATAACCAACCGGCGGTTTTTATATGTGTAATTCAACTGGAACAGGAAATACTGGCTATTTATAGCAGCAGAGTACATCTCAACTTCACAGCACAAGTTTTTTTTTTGTTTTCTTTTCATGCTGGGTGTCTCTGTAAAGCTTGTTTTCCTATCAGTATGGCACAATAATGACAAGCTGTAGAAAGAGGCTATGTTATTTGCACGTTTGTTTTTCATTTTTCCATTTGTTATAATTCATTTCAGTACTGTCACTGTCTTGGCTGCTAGCTAACATTAGGTCGCTCAGTTTGCTAACTAATGCTATCGCTTTGGATAACGCTAACCGGAACGGGGCTAGTAGCTAGGTATCACTGGCTAATATCTCCTAAATAAATATTTCGCTACGTCAGCTCAGTAATTTAGCCGAGTGTATCACCTGTGGACCAGGACCTCCGGAGATTTCCTGTCTGTGCTGCAGTTTGTACTTCCAGGCTCTGAAACTTAGCTTGGCAGCCAAGGTCGAGAGGAATCAAAGCTGTCAACACTATCGTTCATTTATGCGTCAATCTGTTCGCTAAACTACCTCTAGCCTGAACACTGTCACGTGTGACATAGCTGTGTTTGTCATTTTTCAGAATACGTGGTTTAATTGGGGATGGTCATGGATGACGTTTTACTGCCCTCTGGTGGTGCTAATGTGAACTGCACGAACTAAATTTGAATAAATAGAAGATATAGTATGTGCTTTTTTACTATCATGACCTAACATAATGTTTTACATGATTGAGTCTCACTTATATATAATCTTTGTTCAAACTAACTCTTTGTGTCCCTATCACCCAGTCAAACTATTGTCAAGCTATCCTGATTTTCAGATGTGAAAACCAGACAGAATCACTATAAAATACTGCAATAAGTAGTGTGGCAAATAAAATCTCTGAGGGACTATTAACCAGTGTACTAAAATCATGTTGGAAACAAGCTACTGTATAGTTTTGAGTAATGAGCCTTGCCGTATTAGCTTTAAGCAGCAGCTTCACCAGGTTCAGCTATCAAATCCATTTCACGTTTGCCACCCACATACTGGCAGTACTCACATAGTCATGCACATACTTATTAAAAAAACAAAAAAAACAGGTGTCCACCATTCATTTGTTGCCAGTCACCACAGGTTGATTCATCTGTGTATTGACAGGAAAGTGTGTGTGTGTGTGTGTGTGTGTGTGTGTGTGTGTGTGTGTGTGTGTGTGTGTGTGTGTGTGTGTGTGTGTGAGTGTGCGTGCGTGTGTTTGTGTGTGCGTTTTACAGATTGTGATAAAGGACAATGTTGCTCATCTTACTTTAAGCTCATCCTTGAAATTTCCCTTCCGAGGTGTCACTTTAATTTTCATTTTCTGTTCCCACATGTACTCTCTCACTGCATGTGTATCCCACTCTTTACAGTCTATTACATCCCCCCCCTTTTATCTCCAGGTGTTAAGAGAGGCCTCAGTGTTTCACTTAATCCTTAAGTATCACATTGGAGGTTGGGAAAAATTGCAAAACACCAGTGCGGGAAAGATGAATTGGACCAAAAAGGGAAGAGGACTTTAATATATGCATGATTTCACTCCTCTCTGTGAGATTGTCACGGTGGGATATCAGCTAAACGATGGGACACATGTTCATGCAAATAGCCCCTTCGCTGACCGCAAATTGAGTTGGAAGGTAGCCATCTTGGTTCAGCAGCACACTGCGAGGAAGGGGTGGGTGGGAAGGTTGATAGAGGGTATGATGGAGGGGCTGAAGAGATGGGGAGGAGGGGTCTACAAACTGGAAGGGATTCTTGCCGCATCCAAATCATGATCATCTGGCTTAAGCCAGATACGGCCCTAAATCATTTCTCTAAGCTAAGAGAAAACAAAATGGATACCTTCAGAAAACACACACATAAACAGGCTTCACATGCGAAGGCGAGATTAAATATTGCCATGAGATATGGGCTGTGGCAATCTGAGGCGTGCAGCTGGTATTGTGAAAAAGCCAGCTGGGGGATTGCCTGTTATCAAGAAAAAGATGCAAGATATGATTGCAACTGAGCGATACAAAAAAAAAAAGAAGGGATATGCAGCACAGGTGTCTCAAGTGAGTGGTAAATTGATGGAGGGAGGACGAATTAGATTGAGGGACAGGAATAGAGAAAGAGAAAGAGATAAAGTTGAGGAAAAATAGCACAGTTTTAGGTTGTTTCTACTGTATGGAAAGCTGCGTAATCTCTGAAATAACAGCCTCCAAGGAGAAGAATAGGTGTATTTTCGGATGGCTGCATCCACACTGAAGAGTATATGTGTATGTGTGTGGAAGTATTTGCATAAGTGTGTGTGTGTGTGTGTGTGTGTGTGCGCATGGAGAGAGCAGAGGTCTATTAAGAGGGCTTTCCACCTGACTGGCCTCAGCATCATCTCAATGAAGAACCTCTGCTTCCAATTATCCAACCACTACCCATGGGAACGAGAGAGGGGGAGACAGACAGAGAGGGAGACAGACTTTGTGTGCAGAAAGATGGCTGTATGGGTAAATAGTGGAGATATTGTAATGAGGAGATGTCAGCGCTGAAGAACAGGTTGAGGCAGGACGGAATATGAAAAGTAGGTAGGTGAGAGAAACGCATCAGTATGTGAAAACTCCAACTATGAGGCTGGTGAGAAATGTCCTTCATTATGCTTTACAGCTATTCAGGGATTCATGCTCTCACACACACACACATACATGCAGTGTTATTTGAACATTTTCGTGCATGTGTGTGTTTGTGATCTGCCCCACACCCAAATATATGTGTGTTTACAGCTGTAAACAGACAAGACTAAATGAGGTCATTCGTCCTTTAAACTCAGTCAATGTGTGTGTGTGTGTGTGTGTGTGTGTGTGTGTTCAAGGGTGGAAGGTAAGCACAGTGCTGATACAGCCGATTCTCCTGCAGAAGGACAGATGAGGGAAGAAAAACAGAAGAAAAGAGGTAGAAGGAAAAAAAAAAAGGAAAATATATACAGAAGCAAGATTTTGATGGCTGAGTAGCAGGGACACATTAGCCAATAAATGATGGGTGGTAAGAGAGAAAGACAGGGGGAGAAGGAGTTGAAGTGCAGAGTGAAGAACAACGTATGTATTCTTATGTGTATTTGTGTGTGTGTGTGTGTGTGTGTGTGTGTGTGTGTGTGTGTGTGTGTGTGTGTGTGTGTGTGTGGTCCAGTTGAACTGGTCCAGTTTCATCTCTTCTGTATGATTTTGACAAAACAAAAACATCCCAATGCTAAATCACACATCTTTATTATATTGAAGTTCTAACAAAAAAAAAGGGGAAAAAAAGCCAAACTGTTACAGTTTAGTGTGTGTGTGTGTGTGTGTGTGTGTGTGTGTGTGTGTGTGTGTGTGTGTGTGTATGACTCATCATTGGCTCTCCTTACAGTGAAAAAAAAAAGAAAAACTGAGTGTGTAGCCTTGCAGAGGTTAAAATGGCACTTGGTTCCCACACACATGATTTGATTCCTCCAGCTAATAGGAAGACTTTCACAAGCACTTAGCCTGTATTTCTATCAGCCTTCTCATCCTTTCTCTTTGAGTAAGCTGTAATGTACCACATCACTTTGCCCAAGGGCGTGATCCCGCCTTGATAGAGTTTTATGGTTCGCCTTCAGCGCTCTCAATTTCAGTTAAAAAGCTCATGGTATTTAATCTGAGAGCCTGCAAACGTGTTGCCAGTAATCACGGGGTTTACATGAACTCTAAAATGTTCATCACTGTAAACGTGGACAATATAATGTGCCACATTTTAGTGTCTGTTAAGAGATTCCCGCTTGTTATGGCTGTTCATCATCACATTACATTGTCGAGAAAGAACCCAGCTCCACAACAAACTAGCTGGAGGCAGCAACAATTTGTAAATCTCATACACAGCCTTCCACAGATCCCACAAGCCATCAATATTTCAAACAAGACTGACATCTTCCTGAATTAAATGGGCTAACAGTTATTTTCTTTCTTGTGAAAAAAAAAAAGGACAGGCTTTAGCATGCAAATGCTTGTTAATATTCATGTGCGTGTGACATCACAAGGTGTTTGCGCATCGAGGTCGAACAGCAAAGGGCGGGGAGAGTCTATCAGATGTCTCCGAGGCTGAATGCTGATGTTGAGATAATCAACCGCAGTCGGCGCCAACTGAGAGACAAACCGCAGTGAAGTCATTAACAAGCCAGCGTTTCTAGAGAGACGGGAGAGGGAGAGCAGCTGATATAAGGGGGAAAGGAGTGGAATGGACGGCAAGAGGACGAAGAATAAAGGAGTGGGAGAATAAAATATTAGCAGTGAGTTGAGCAGCTTTGAACAGATGAAGTAGGTGACAAAGTGTGAAAACTTAAACAGCAAAATAATTGAACACAAACTCCTGAGTAGGGAGTGAAGTATAGGGTGAAAGACAAAAAACAATCTGAAGATGAAAACAAGTGAATAATTTACAGTGTCAGGACGGTGACTGAATGCCTTACTCATCGGCTGTGTTCATTTTTGGGTCATAAAAAGACACGGGTGGCAACACAGGGCTGATTAGTTGTCATTTGCTGTGCAGAAGAGCTAAAGTCATCACCAGCTCAATTAAAGAATGTGTGTTTATGACAGAGTGGAGGAGTTATGG